ACAGCACTCATAGCCTTTGTCTGCAAGGCTCAGACCATTCTAGATGACTGAAAAGTAGGAGTTGAATAATGGAGATCCTGATTTTTTTTAACTTTAAAAAAAAATATTTTTATTTCAGAGAGGAAGGGAGAGGGAGAGAGAGAGAGAACATCAATGAGAGAGAATCATTGATTAGCTACCTCTTGCATGCCCCACACTGGGGATTGAGCCTATAACCTGGTTCATAGATAGATGCTCAACCACTAAGCCATGATGGCCAGGCCTGATATTTTTTCAGTGTTGTCTATAGCTCCTGAGGTAGCTGTGTTGCTAAGAATTGAACTTCTACCTGTCAGAACTGCTTGGTCTTCTGCCAGAGATTTTGTATTTGGTTCAGCAGAGGCCTTGTAGCTGCATAGCAGCCACTGCCTGGAACCCAAGCCTTGTTACTACACAGATTTCTTTCACCAAGTTGCCTATATGATCCCAGCAACTATACCAGGCAGCTAACGGGAAGCAAGAGGTGTTTGAGGAGGAGGTTTATTATTAGGAAAAACACACGAAAGTGAGGGAACATGTGCAAAATCTGGGAGAGCCAGAGCTCTGCTGGCATTATGTTCTCTAGCGAATGTCATGCCTTCTATTCTGTGGAACCATTTTTGTCTTCAATTTAAAGTGGAGAATCACATTTTAAGAATTATTTGAAAAACACACACAAACAAAACATGGGCTGGTAGGTTTATTAATTGTAACAAATGTACTACTTGGTTGGGGGATATTGATAATGGGGAGGCTACCCAGGTGTGGGGGTTGGGCATATGGGAAATCTCTATACCTTCCTTTCAGTTTTGTGTGAACCTAAAACTGCTATAAGGAAAATAAAATCAATTTAAAAATGAACTGGAGTTAAGCGGACTTGCAAGTAGCTTTACCACTTTCTAGCTAGTTATTTGATTTTTTTTACTGATAGTGTAACTTTTTGAAATTCAGATAATTTGATCCATACTCTAATTATAGTGGGGGTAGTGGTTCATGCTCTCCTAATATAGGAGACAGTGAAAAAGGGGGTTCAAAGGTTGGGATTCAAAGGATTTCTCTATAAATATTTAAGGGTCAAATGAGACAATAATGAGTAATTATAGCTGCCACTTATTGAGCAGCTGCTATGTGTTGGGCAGTCACTCCTTCATCTTCATGCTCCACTAATAACATATTATCCCCACTTTACAAATGAGCAAGTAGATGCAAAGAAGTTAGAGGACTTGACTAAGGTCATCCAGCCAGTAAGAGGCAGAGTTCCCATGTTGAAGTCAGTGTAACACAGAGGTTAAGGATATACATTCTCTCTAAGGCCACCTGCTTTACCCCAGGGTAGCAATTAGGGTAGTTGTGAATGTAAGATGTTAAATTCATGTGAAGCTCTTAGAAAATATCAGGTGATAGGTACTAGTATTAACCCGGGGACCCTCACATGTATGTTCTTCCCATAATTTTCTTCCCTCACGTGAGGCTGATATAAGACTAGCCTTGCCCTAGCAAGTTTTGCTCAGTGGGTAGAGCATTGGGTTTGATTCTGGTCAAGGGCACGTGTCCAGGTTGCGGACTTGATCCCCAGTAGGGGGTGTGCAGGAGGTAGCAGATCAATGATTCTCTCATCATTGATGTTTCTCTCTCTCTCTCTCTCTCTCTCTCTCCCTCCCTCCCTCCCTCCCTCTCCCTCTCTCTCTCTCTCTCCCTCTCCCTCTCCCTCTCCCTTCCTCTCTGAAATCAATAAAAATATATCTTTTTTTAAAATGAAAGACTGGCCTGTACTTGACATTTAATATTTTTTTTCTTTAATCCTCACTTGAGGACATGTTTGTTTTTTAATGAGAGGGTGAGAGAGACATCGATGTGAGAGAGAAACATTGATCCGTTGCCTCCCATACTTCTCCATCCCAGCAACTTGAGGTCAGCCTGGGTCCTCCCTGGGTTTCTACCTTTAGGGCCCCATTTTTATTTCTTTTTTGGCAGAAATGCTGGAAAGCAGAGTTTGATGAAGGAAAATGGTGGAGTGTCTGATTTCATCATTGGGCCTTTGAACCAATAGCAGGGCAGGAGAGCACTGATAAATTTCTGAATTTCTGCTCAGAGTTTTAATTGTGGGGCAGACAGGCATTGTTGCCAGGCAAATGGGTTACACCCAGTGGACGTGATAGGGAAACGCGCTTGGTGGTGAACAGATGGTTTTATCAGGTCCATTTTGATGCTGTTCATGGAATGCCTCACCCCTTGGCAATGACAGTGAGAGAGTGCAGGGGATGGGCATGTTACTGATCATCAGTGAATGCTGGCTCCCTGCCGGGCACTTTACACCCACTAAGGTAGTGAATGCTCACATTTACCCTGAGGTATTATTGTTAGTATTACTGTTGTTGTTGTTGTTGCATCTACTCTGCAAGACAGTTATGACTGTTGTCCCTCTGAATTTTATCCTCACCTCCCAGGAAGGAAACAGGCTCAGGGAGTGAAATAAGTTGTCCAAGTTCCTGTAGCTGGGATGATTCCGAGGCCTGAGGTCTGCCCACAGGAGTGAATTCCACCAAGGATGTCGGGCCACCTGATATACTGGGCAGTGCCAGGCATCCTGGGTGTGATGTCCTGACACCGGGCCTGACAGACAAGCAAGGAACTGGGAAGAAAAACCAACCTGAGACAAAATAGTCCCTTTCAGCTCTCCCTTCACTATGCCTGAGCCCTGATTCCTGCCTTCCGCAGGCTGCTGGAGAAAGGTCAGGCAGAGGAGCCGGGCAGGTCTCGCATGTCTGAGGGTCCGAGTTTAAATCTCAGTGCCACCAGTTCTTGGCAGCTTACATTGGCCACCTGAGCTTTAGCGTCTGCAGCTGTAAAGTAGGCCTAATAAGGTGGGCAGCTTTATTCATACAGTAAACAACTTTTATTGAGTGATACCATGGGCTCCACACCATTTGGGTGCCTGGGAGGTAGAGCAGTGAGCAAAACAGAAGCCCTGCTCACAAGAAAATGATGTTATTGTTATACTGAAGAGAGAGAAAAAAACAAACAAACAAGCAGGGAGATAGTGAAGAGCAAGTGGGAAAATGCACATAAAATACTTACAGTGGTGCTTGGCATGGGGTAAGCGCTCAATACATGTTAACTTATTCTTTAGCCATCTGTGTAGCCACGTGAAATAAAATGTGCCAGTGCATCCAGGTTCCCAAATAGTGTTTCTTTCTGCAGCTGCCTTTTCCCCTTCTAAGCCCACTGCCTTTTCTAGAATCTCTGCCAGCCTCCAGGGCTCTCAGGCTTTGTGCCGTGGTCTCAGGTATGGAGTGAGGCTACCTGTTAGCTGCTCGCTTAGAGGTCTCCTACTAGTGGGTTTTGAGCCCTTGGGGATAGGGACCAGTCTCTCATCCAGCTGCATACCCTGAGGGCCTGCACATAATAAGTGCTCAATTAATATTTGTTTTCAAAATGAGAAAAAAAGAGGTAGATTGTATGTGGCTCCATGAATTGCCCTTGGGTGGTTTTATATTTACTGTGATTTTACTAAGAAGAGTGCTGGCTTTTGGTGTGGTGATTGGGAGGAGGCCAGAAAAAAAGAGACTGAAAATAAATTCATTTGTCTGTTCTTTTTTTTTTTTTTCTGGAAAGAGGATGGCATCCATCTTCAGTGGCCCCTTAATTATTCTTGCCAGGACTGCAGGCTTGTTCCCGAAGCCTGCCAGTGACAACAACCTAGTGTTGTCATAAGCAGAACAACTTAACGGGAAGACTCCAGGCCTTGGATGTCTCCGCCAGGCCGCAGCAGCGGGGCTATCGAGTGGGGAGCAGCAGCCGCCCTCATCTCCCCTCCCTTCTCTGACAGGCAGCTGCGAACCATCTTGGGCCTGAGGTCTGGCACCCACCAACAATCTTCTGGAAAAAGAATGTGCTTAAGAATTTAGGGGTAAATGGGCCACGGTCCAGAACATGAGGCCCCTTTTAAACATGACGCTCTGCATAACCTTCCTAATTCCTGTGATAGGAGGCCCCCTCTGCCCTTGGAGAGTAGCAGTGATTTTCACTATCTTTAACTGGGCCAAGTTCAGAGTGTTTTCTGGATGAGCAAGGGAAGCACTCATCCCAAGACAAACAAACGGGATTCCTGAGGGTGGTTTGCATTCTGCTGAGCTGCTTCACTTTTAATAGCTGCTTGAATAACGAGCTGGGGGTTGTCTATAAAACAATCCTCAAAAACAATCCATATGCACGCGATGATTGCTTTGACCATCTAGATAGAAACACATCTATCTACATATATCCTTGTAGCAGCCACACCTGGATTCCTTACAGGAATATTCACACAGAGTAGGGCTGTACCCCTTTTGGAATAAATTTGTCTTTAAAAATGTACCCTTCTTGCCGAAACCGGTTTGGCTCAGTGGATAGAGCGTCGGCCTGCGGACTGAGAGGTCCCGGGTTCGACTCCGGTCAGGGGCATGTACCTGGGTTGCAGGCACATCCCCAGTGGGAGATGTGCAGGAGGCAGCTGATTGATGTTTCTCTCTCATCGATGTTTCTAACTCTCTATCTCTCTCCCTTCCTCTCTGTAAAAAATCAATAAAATATATTTAAAAAAAAAATGTACCCTTCTTAACCTAGTTTTAATAATGTGGTTTCTGTTTATAAAATTGGACTCTTACAAGAGCAACGAGAAAGAGAAAAAGTTGAATGTATTTTACATGAAATACTAACCTTTTCGTTAAAAGAAAATATCATTGTGCTCTAGAGTACATTTATTGAATCTTCCCAAATATGTCCTCCAAAATTAATTTTCACCAGGTTTGCATGAACTCGTTTATTGAGTTGGAATTCAGTCCCCATTGGAGGCAATTCATTTGAAGAGTGACCTGCACCCGCCCACCCTCTTTCTAGAACGCCCACACACATATGCTAGCAGCGACTGGGTTTTCTATTTCTTCCCCCTCTGAGATATTTCCCACACTTGCCTGCTAAGTAAATGATCCGTCTCATTGCAGGATAGTGACAACCTCTGGTGGGACGCGTTTGCCACGGAGTTTTTTGAAGACGATGCCACGCTGACCCTTTCCTTTTGTCTGGAAGATGGACCGAAGCGATACAGTAAGAGCGAAGTTTGTTTTTCTGATATTTCTTCTTTTTGCGCCTCTAAAAAAACCCCAGGGGTCTTCAGAGACTAGCACAGTGCCGACAGCCTGACAGTGATACCTCCACTCCTGACGTTCTTGCTTCCGATCAAGGCCTTGTCATAGGTGGCAGCCGGGTCTCCGTCGAGGCTTAGAGCGTTTGGACACGTGGTTGTTTAGCAAGCGAGGCGAATAGCAACCAAGTCACTCAATGAAAAGTGGGAGGTGAATTGCAGAGATTTCCTACTGGTCTCCCCCCCGGGACCCCCCTTTATCCTTGACAGCTCACACCTCACTCCCAGTGTTCTGCTTCTGAAGGTTCCTTTAAAAAATTGCTCCTAGTTACTGTATCAGCAACATCCTTCTAATTTCCTCTTACCAATTATCTCAGGTGTTTGTTGGCCAAGTGCTATCTTTTCTGGGGGGAAGGGGGAAGTGGGGGAGACCCCAGCTGCTTTGAACATACAGTTTGGGATTGGTGTTGACAGAATTATAGTCCCCTGACTTTCCTGCGAGTGATAACTCTGTAAGGATCCTCCAATTACAGCCCATGGCACCTTGGGCAGCAGCTGATCTGTCCTGATTAGGTTCAGCCACCTTGTCAGAGATCAGATGTGCTAGTTCTGCTGTAAGACTGGGAGGCACAGATACGTCAGCTCCCAGGCAATTAATGTCCGGTTACATCAGGGGGAGATGTGTTTCCAGAAACCAGGGTTGCACACATGAAAGGATCTGTCAGAGGGTAAAACATCCCACGTGTCACAAACATGGAGAGGAGATGATGCTGGAACCAGCCGCAGGATGTTTGAAGGAGGCAACCCAGAGCATTGGGCCATTTATAGGTAATCAGGCTCTTGCTAAAAACGATTGAAAAATCTTATGGCTGCTAACTGTATTTCAAAGCCATTGGGAACAAGTTATTGGTGGTGGTGTTTTAATTTTTGTGAATTTAGGCAACTCAGTAGTGTTTGGATCTTTGCATGCTGAGTTCATTAATTATGTTAATATATGCGTGGTGATTTACAATAGTGACAGACTGGGGCGACTCAGCAACTTGGACTTGCTGCCCTATGGAAACTCAGTGCCAGGAGCATGTCTTTGGATCTGTGTACTTTGGGCTGTTAAAGGCGTGGGGCATTTTTAGTAAATATTTTGGGTGAGGGCGGCAGCTAGTATGTCAGACAATGGGCTGTTTCAGTGTCTTTATTCAGCATAATGACCTTGTTGCAGGCACAGGTAAGCCACTTGATGGGGTTCTGATGAGTTAATTTGCCTTCCTGGGTGTGGGTGCCCCCAAGACATGCCCGAGACAGTAAGAGAGTCGGATTTAGAAGCCACGGTTTCCAAAGTCCCTAGGAGATAAATGAACTCGGCAATCCAACAATTACTCTCTCCCCCAAAGCCTGCCTGATCAATGGTGAATAATTTCCAACCGAGCAGTCATCCATCTTGTGAGCTTCTTCCTCTCTCTCTCTCTCTCTCTCTCTCTCTTTTTTTTTTTTTTAGGCATAAGCTCAGATACTTTCAAGTTATCATTGTTTTATGTTCCTTATTCCTATGCTTTTTTGGTTTGTTTGTTTGTTTGGAATTCATCAGGGTCTGCTCCAGGAGCTAGAATTACAGTTTTAAAGCCCGTACTAATAAAACAGGTCCCCCATCTTCCCTCTGTTCACCCCTCACCCCAACATCATTTGGGGGTGAAGCATGATCAGTGCCTCTTTAAGAGCTCACATCCATGGACAGGAGGAATGCCTGACTCTGAGCCATTGTTGCCCAGGTTTCTTTGTTTCTCTGAGCCAAAATATTTCCCAAGCAGAGAAGAGAAACAAAGATGATTGACAGCTTGGAGCCAAGTCTCATCAGCTGCTTTGCTGACAGCCTGGTGATGTGCACACGCTGCTGATGTGCGGGCGAGTGACAGCTGATTGACAGCCGGGACTGGGAGACGGGAAGATGAAGCAGGCTTAGAACGCCCGGCACACGCTGTTTATGCAGCGCTCCCAGCACAGGCGCTGCCGCCTTAACCCATTCGTGGTCCAGGCACCCTTTGCCAGGCTGGGAAGGCACCTGCTGGCCTGGGCTGCAGGCTGTAGCTCTTCCGTGAGTCCTTCCAGGGAGCCACGAGCTTTGCATTTCTGAGGGAGAATATAAGTCTTCCCTGTTACATTTACATATACAGTCTTAACTTGTAAAATCCCCAATTACTTTCATTCTAGGTACCAAGAAATATTCCAATGAGATTTCTTTACCCCTTACTAGGAACAACTGCTTCTTCTCCCTCCCCATCTCTCTGTTTAGAGGGTCCCTCTGGCTCTAAGATATCTTATCTCTAAGCTAGGTGAATCCCATAATATGTGTTTGCTTATATATTTGTTCCCTGTCACCCTCTATTAGAATGCTATCTCCACCTGGGCAGGACTTTTATGTTATTTATTGCTGAATTCTCAGATGAATACACGAACTCACACATAATAGGTGCTCAATAAATATTTGCTGAGTGAATAATTGAATGAATGAATTGACATTTGGGGGAAAGTTTATATCAACAAACAGAACATTGACAAAACAATCCCTTTACCTAGATCTCTGGACTTTTTTAACTGGAAGAATTGAATCAACAATTGAATTGAACGATGTGCTGGCATTTTCAAATAAGCTCTAGGATATGATCTGATCTACTTTAAGTGGGGCAGGGGAGCAGTGAAAAAATTCAGGAAATAAGTATGCTTTGGGAGGTGCATTGTGTCTCTGTATTGGTTGTGTTGCACCCCCACCCGGGTCCCCACTCTCCTTGGGAGAAATAGAGACTGCTGGGAGTGGCTGGTGTGGAGAGCACCTGATAGACAGGGTTACTGGACCCGTCCACTGTGTGTCCCTAAAGCAATGGGCCAGCCCCTGCCTTGCGGCACATCGGGAAGTTGTTCTCTAGCAGTTCCAGGGAGGTACGTTTCTACTGGGGGTAGGAGAGGTAAGTGACTTCCTCTTTGTCAACAGATTAATGATTAAAGACTATTAGAGCTGAAAAGCATCTTTTTTGAAAATGGAAAGTTGGTCCAGAGGGTCCCAGCTGGTGAATCATTGGGCCTCCAGTCCACTGACTTCAAAGTCGAAGTCAGAGCATCTTCCCTCTCCTGTCCCCATCCTCCCCCTACATCCTCCCATAGCTAATGGGAAAGAAATGGATTCACCAATTCACACATTTCCAGGAACATCAGTTGCAAATAATGACCGCGTCTGATATGACAGAAGGCAAGGCGAACAGAGGAGTGGGTTCCTGAGCCCTCTGCATGCGGACTTGGCACACTTACTCTCCAGCATCCTGTGTGATTTTCCTTCCCCGTCTTGTACAGAAACAGCCATTCTTAGCTTGATTGCTCACTGTTAACTTCAAGCAAGTACTGATGCTCCTCTACTCCCTTTTCAGGCATATGGCAGAATTGTGCCCCTCATCCTTCTCTGTCCTCATGACCATCACAAATCCCTTCAGGTAAAGGTGCTGGTAATCCCTCAGGACACTGAGGCTGTGTCCAGGTTCACGTTGGCCATGTTCTTCATCAATAGGAAACGTGTGGTTCCCAATTCATTCAGGGAATAGTTCTTTGCTGGGAGAGCTGCATGGAGAAAGTTCTCTTGAGTCTCTTGGCCTTGGAGAGGCCACACGACATAGTCAAAAGGGCACCAGGATTAAACATGTCTTGGGTTTTAATCTGTGCTAGGTTTGGTAAACAGAGTCTCCATTTTCTCATCTATAAAATGGGCACAATACTATCATCACTGGCTTGTGGTAAAAATAAATTAGATAATCCATTAAAAGCAAACCTTGGCCCAGCTGGTATAGCTCACTGGTTGAGCATTGACCTATGAACCAGGAAGTCACTATTCGATGCCCAGTCAGGGTACATGCCTGGGTTGTAGGCTCAATCCCCAGCGTGGGGTGTGCAGGAGGCAGCCAATCAATGATTCTCTCTCATCATTGATGTTTCTGTCTCTCTCTCCCTGTCCTGTCCTCTCTGAAATCAATAATTAAAAATAATTTTAAAGCAAACCTTGGACCATTTGAAATGTGGTGTCATCAGTATTGACTACTGTTATTAATAACAGTGCCCAGTCTCAGCCTCACTCCAGCTTTTGTGCATCGTTCGATGGGCTTGACAGTTGGCAGGTGCTTGTCATGTGTGTTCGGTGTTTGGAGCTTCCTGCAGAGCCTCGCTGATTAACTGTGAGCCCATAGGACCACTCTGGTGGGCACTTCCTGCTGAAATGCACACCAAAGAGATGGCCTCCTCCCAGAAACTAGCTCTATGTCGGGTGGGTCAGTGACGTGCAGGAGGAGGAAAACAGAGGGGAAGGGTGAGTGAGTATGTGTAGGGCTCTGTACTTTGGTGGGTAAGGATGCCCACACTTAGTTAAACATGTCTAGGTTGGCATTTTTGCTTTGGAAATTCAGGTGAGAAATGATATAACTACTAAAATGCCATCTTGTCTCAGGGCACTTCCTTGAGGCCTACATTTTAGGAAAGATGTATTGTACAGGCAGGTGCTCTGGATATGATACCTGGGTGCAAATCCAGCTTTGTCTTTTACTAGCTGTGTGATTTGGCATAAGTCATGTTCTAAGCATCAATGGTCTCAGCGGAAAAGTTTGATGATCTGATGCATGTGAAGTTCTTAGCAGAGTTTCTGGCACCATGAAAATGCTCCATAAATAGCTTTTGCTATTGGATTGAATTCCAATGAACACATCGTGGTCTCTAGATTGAGATCCAGGGCAATTCAGATACAGTTGCCATTAATCTAACTCTTGTTTGGAATTTCGGGATTGATGGCTGCCAGTAGTTTTCTATCACACACTTGTTAGTTCACCATGACTTCTGTCTGGAATAAGGATTTCTGACATGTGACCTCACACCTTCATAGTCACACCAGCCAAACTATTCATTCTCTTTCTCTCTGTGGCTACTGGGGGGACATTTTACT